ACATTGATTTTCTGTACGCTGCTAAGAAAATGTTCCTATTAAGAAAACTGCCCTCGTGCTTGTATTCGATCAGTGAGTGCTACCAGTGTTAACCTATGGATGCAAAATGTGGAGCCTACGCCTGAAAGCTATTACAAACTGCAGACAACGCAAGGTAGCATGGCGGGAATAACTTGAAAAGGTTAGAATACGAATGAATAGATTAGAGGACAAGAAACAATTTGCGATGTCAGTGCCTGAGTAAAGAAATTAAAGTGGCAATGGAAAAGACACGCTGCGAGAAGAACCAACCATCACTGGACCAGAAAGATACTGGGCAGAGTTCCAAGAAACAATAAACGGTTTGCAGGAAGACCTCCAGATGCATGACAGGATGAGCTGAAGAGGTTCGTTGGATGAAGACAGATAAAACTTGCAGAAAATAGAAGTTCACGATAAAGTCATGGAGATACCTTTATCCAGCTGTAGATCGATAAAGGCTGATGATTATGTCGCCAAGGTTGGGACAGTCACTATATCTGTGGGCTCTACAAATGTACGTCAATTTTATTGAAATCGATACTCAACCATGATTTGTTCAAAGCACCTGTTAGCTAAGGATTGAGTTACATCTTACGTTACAACCGAGAGATAGCTAGAAGCAAAAGATAAGATATCGATGGCGTCACTTTATAGATTACCTCTGCAACACATACGCTATCTTTAACAAACAATGAAGAAGTGGGGTCACTGATTTTGTGATAAATGATGCAAATAGGCTATTAATACATCCTTTAAGTGGTAAAAGTTGTACTCCTAATTAAACTACTGTGCAGCCTTATAAGCGACCTTATATGTCTAGAATTTCCGCATTAAGGCAGCAACACTTATACCTACATCTAGACGCAAGATCGGTGTCACAACACCATGTAAACTAATCTGGGGAATTACGACCAATCATACCCTTCCGATGGGGGGGGGCGAACAAAATGTTTTCTGCGTTTCTGCAAAAACTGAGGATTACCTCGTCTGGATAGGTTACTGGTGGCATCGCTATTACCATCAAAATAATGTGAGGTGCATTAATGCATTGTAGTTGGTAGAATGTCATAGAGCCATAGTCTGCTGAAATAGTCCAACCAGGCATCTAATGAGGGCAATGATTTAAATTTAGAGCTCGAATTTTCGAATTCACCTTCCTGACGCATTCCCTTTAACAAGGAACAATAACAAACAATTGGTTCGTGTTAACCTCGCTCATAATCTTTGATCGCTGATCCAGTCTAAGGTGAACTTTCGTACTTCATACTGTTCCCTAAACATCGAGAAACCTCTGTACTGGTCTTCCATTCCTCTTTTTGATA